TTGATTATACATCAACATTTGATGTATAACCTCATAAATCTAATAACCATATTTTCCATCTATGTTCCATTCATAAATGGTTTTCCCATGAAAAGATTTTTGAGTATGAAAATAATCTTTTTCATACAAAATATCTTGAGGGGTTGGTCTAGGATAATAATATCTACTCGGAGCAGGAGCTATATTAGAGTGGATATTTTTATTGTAGACAATTCTGTTGAATTCAGGCATGGTAGAGAAATCAACCTGAAAATCCTTTATATGAGGAAATACGTCAGTCTCAGAAATAATTTCAAATTCATCATAGGACAAAGTATTGATTTTGAGTCCCTGAATTTTCTGAGTAAAAAGAGTTAAGAATTCCTCATTCTTCTTTGGATGTGACAGCTTGAAACCTGAAACCTCGATTGTAGGTTGAACAAGAGCCTTGGATAAGGTGGCCTCTAGGGAAGGTTTTATAGTTATGTATTTGGTATTAAGAATATTCAATACCGTATCCATACCTGTTTCAATTCTCCCTAGCTGGGACCCTATCATTTGCATGTAGACATTTGTATAATTATTTTGTCTGTTTGCTTTATAAATATCTTATTTGACAACAGTACCTACTTTGTCAATAAAAGATGGCTGGTTATAAGCCTTGGTTTCTACCTTGGCACCAGTGTCACTATCTACTTTTCTCAAAAGTAGAGCTTCAGCAGGGGTATGGACTGAGTGAATAACCTTATCCTCTTTTGTAGTCCATGTCTTTAAAACTCATCCAAAATGTTCAAATTCATAATGGAATGATGAGTTAAACAAAACCAAGAAACAAAAGGTATAACAGTCCCCTTTTCTTGAAGATACTCATAAAACTGAGTTTTAAAAAGCTGTAGTTGCTCTTTACTAAACTCATTAAAATACCAAGTTCTGAATTCTTGATATTGCTCCTGTTGAAATTCAGCATTAATGGTTTTCCTATTTGGTGTAAAATCCATTAAAACTAAAATTCTTCTCTTTCTTTCCCATCTCCCATTTCTGATGTTGTAGGGGTAAATTCCACACCAAATTCCCGTGGAAACCTTTGGCCTTTTTCTGACTCTGGTTCATATACTCCCATTGGAATTTCATTATTGGACTACTGGATCCCCTTTAGTTTTACTGATGCTGCCTATTTGTCTTCAGCTGTCGAGAATCCCGAGAAAGAATTTCGAGAAGAAGTATATGAAACTTTATTAGGCAAATTAATGCCTCTGGATGATATAGTTCTGGGTAAATCCAAAGATCTTCTAAAGTTTAGAAGAACATCACCATCATTATCCTGGATAACACAATCTAGACTCCTATTCAAAATAAGCTTTGCAAGAACAGCATTAGGGATTTTCCAATGTTCTGGAAATGTTATTTCACTCCAAGGAATCATCCTTTTTTGTGGCAACATTTGAGGTGAACATATTTGTATTCCATAACGCTATTTCTCCTTTGGAATCAAGGCGTATGGCATTTGGACAATAGGTATCAAGTACCTTATAATGGATGCGATAAATAACACTTATCATATTCACGATCCTCTCGTTATTTGGTATCAGAGCCATATGTTGGCTTAACTTTATATTAATTGTTAATGCTTTTTAGGTTCTGGTAGGATAATTATTATTGTAATTATGTAATGAATAATGAGACTACTAATCTGTTTGGATCCTACTTAAACTAGATTCTATTATGGGTCATCCAAAAGTCGCGTTGGAATGTTAAGACCATTTTTGCATTAAATTGCTCTACAGGTCGTTGTTTCCAGTAAACCGTTAACAGACGAGTAATAGGGCATCTCTTAAGTAGAACACCAACAAAATAATAACTTACTGTTCATTATATAATATAACAATGATTATACTATTTAGATCTTAAGCATTAACAATATTTTAACAGTTATATTAAACCCCATTTCTTCCAGATTGGAAGTATAGGATTCACAAGATTCTGAATTTATAAAAAATTCAGAATTGGTTGAATTTACAAGGGTTCAAAATCAATTGAACAAATTGACTATTCCTCCAGTAAATGCTCGTAGCATTTACAAAATCGGAATGCTCAATATTACTGATCTATGGGCAGTAAAAACCATGGAACCGACAATGCAATTGAGCAATCAGGATACAATAATTAGGTTATTGTCTCCACAAGATCTTCAGAGACATGAAGAAATACAAGTATATCCATATAGGTTTAATACAAATTACTTTTAAACGTTTAACTTTACTTGGTATGGATGTCAGTATCCAGGCAACACTTAGAAATGCAATTTTATTTTCCAATCACCGATTCATATTAAACTGGAAACAAATCTAAACTATTCTAGAAGTGTAAAAAAAGTTCATTAAAGTATAACAAATTATACGGCACGTGGACATTAATTCCAAAAAATAAATTAGCACGTCTCACGTATAAATATACACATGCATATTTAATTAGTAAAAAATTTTCCTCTTTCTTAAATAAAAAACTAGTAATTTATTTTAGTTATTTATTATTTTAGGAAATTTTTTGTTAAAATACATATTTGTGAGTCACTATTCCCAATACATGACACTTATTATGGGACGGAGGGAGTATATATCTATATATATATATATATATATCTATATATATATATATATATATATATATATAAAATAAGCAAGTAAATTTGGTAAACAGTAGTATCTATAATTACTAAAACTCATTTATCTCCAATTAAAACCCACGCCTCTTAGAACACTCTTATAAAATTAATTGTATTGTATGAGTTTACTATATCCCACCTAAAAACCTATACAAGCATATTTAATTAGTGAAAAACTCTACCTCTTCCTTAAATAGAAAACTAAAAATGTGTTCAAACTTTTCTTTATTTTAATAGTAATTTATTTTAGTTAATCATTATTTTATTATTTTAGGAATTTTTTTTGTTAAAATGCATATTCACAACATATATATATGTATAGGAAGATTATAACATAGAAGGGATAGAAAAATATATATATAAAATAAATAAATAAATAAATTGATATAAAATATATATATTTATATATAAATAAAAATAAAAAGTAAGTAAATTTGGTAAACAGTTGTATCTATTTACTTGTAAAACGAATGAATTTCTCTATATTTGTTCATTAATAATATGGGAATATATATACAATACAATAAGTAATTTAGATCCTAAATTAGAGCATATGCACTATGAATGCCTATTTACATTCCTATATAAATGGAAACGAATCAAGAAGCAATCCAGATTTTGTGCAATCCCAAATTCTGTTGACTTTACATTCCTTAACACTCCCCCTCAAGTTTGGAATGTATGTTAATAATTCCTAACATGCTAAGTAGAGTTGAGAATTGTGAAGAACTCAATGGTTTTGTAAAAATGTCTGCTGGCTGGTTTGATGTGGGTACATGAGTCATCTTGATCATTCCTTCTTGAACTTCTCGTTTAAGGTGACAATCAATTTCTATATGCTTTGTTCGTTCATTGTAGATTGGGTTTGAAGCAATATGGAGCGCTGCCTAGTTGTCACAATACAGATTAACAGGATGTGAATGTTTGATGCCCAAATCTTGTAGAATTGTTCTTCACCAGGTAATTTCACAACAGGTTGCAGCCATAGATCGATATTCTGCTTCTACGCTGGACCGTGATACTATCGTTTGTTTCTTGGGTTTTCTAGGAAATTAATGAACTGCCAAGAAGTATGCAATACCCATGACCGTCGAGTGTCACGACACCTAAGCCCAATCTGCATCACATAAGGCATTCAGTTGAATTGAACTTTCTGTTGAACTAAATATTCCTTGTTCTGGTGTTTGTTTCACATATCGTAAGACACGATGGGCTGCTTCTAAATGTGGTACTCATGGTTTGTCCATAAATTGATTTAAAACATAGAATGCATATGTCAAGTCGGGTCATGTGATAGTCAAATAAATTAACCGCCCAACAAGCCTTCGGTATGAAGATGGAGTTGTAACAACTCGAATTTTTTAGGATTTTAATTTATTTCGTCATTTTTAATTGTCATGATTATTTAATTATGATTAGAGAGTTACTCATTAAACAGATATTTATTGGGTTAATTTGGATTGTTACAGTATATATATATATGTATGATATATATATATGTATGTAATCTGTTGGCACAATTTGGGTAACAGCCAAAATGAGATTAGAGAGATTGAAATGTTTTTATTTGTGCGGGTCGCACGTGGCTTTGCTTTATGGTGTGAGTGATGATTATTGAAATGGATGAAATATAGAGATAAGAAGAATAAAGTGATCAAATTAAAGAAATGGGAGATGCACCAGCTGAAGTGAGGAGGAGAAAGAAAGATTGAGTTGGTATAGTGCGGGACCCACGGAGATATTTGGGTTTGATTTAGTTTTATTATATATATATATATATATATATATATTGTATGCTAGTGTTGCTGCCAGTCGAAATGAGATTTTTTTTTGACTTTCTTCACGTGGCCTTGTTTGTTTTTTGGGAAAATTACATATACATGGAGTCAAAGTTCCATATTTACTTAGAGACTGAGTCAAAGTTCCATATTTCTCTAAAATGGATTACTGAGGTGGCACATGGTTTTTTACTATTTAGAAAATTGTGGTGCCTAAAATGCCCTTCCCTAACAAAAAAGTAGTACCTTCAGTGCAAAAAAGTAGTACCTTCAGTTCAAAAAAGTAGTACCTTCGGAGAAAAAGTAGTACCTTCGCGGGTGTTTAAAAAACATGGTACCTGGACGCCAAAAAGTAGTACCTTCAGTTCAAAAAAGTAGTACCTTCGAAGAAAAAGTAGTACCTTCGTGGAAGGGTATTTTAGGCACCACAATTTTTAAACAGTAAAAAACCATGTGCCACCTCAGCAATCCATTTTAGAGAAATATGGAACTTTGACTCAGCCTTTAAGTAAATATGGAACTTTGACTCCATTTATATGTAATTTTCCCTTATTTTTTTGGCTCTGATGTATTTTGTGGTTGTGTACTATGAGTATGAAGTGATAAAGGAGATATTTTTTTATAGCAGTGGGACTCACCTGTACCAAAGTCATTACAAATGACTCAATTCACATATCAGACTCTCATTTTTCTCTCTTTTCAATTACATTTGCTCTCTCTTTCTCCTCTCTCAGTTCCCTTTTTCTTTTCTTTTACCATCATTTACAAGTTTGATTTCTCTTCAACTTTTGGGAGTTTGTTAGTGTCATTTGCGGCAAATTGGAGAGTACAGCGAGATCGACGCATAGGTGTAAGCAATTCCTTGTTTGGTGTACTTTTGGGATTTCAAATTTAGAACCCATTTTAAGGGTTTTTGCATCTTAAGAGGTATGGGTCTCTAATCCATGCATTCTTGTGCTTTTATGAATTAATTCTACATAATTTGTTGTTAAGCATACTTAATTCATATTGATTATCCTTAAAATGATATAAATGTGGTATATGAAGTTCATGACTATGTGTAGTAGTTGATTTATATGAAAAACATGCTTAATTGATAATATTTTATGCCTATTATGTTTAGAATTTGTCAAATTTCATGATGTGAAAGCATGATATTTCCTTTGGGAGTTCTTGTAAAATTATGCTATGTGACTTGAACTTAAATTGGATGTATGATAATGGTCATTGACATGACATGGATAAGCATGATGCATTCATGCATAGCATTGGGCAGGAAAAATGGGAAAGAATTGTTTTGAAATGAAAAGGGGTTTTGGTTTTTTTTTTTTTTTTTTTTTTTTTTTTTTGATAAGTTGTTTTATAAAAACCCGGACGCCGAGGAGATACCGAGGGTCTGTGGCGTTAATATGACCTAAAGGGAACTAAGGAAATCATCCTAAGATTTCTCCCTCTGATTACTTAGTTTAATATTTCAGTTTAATTTTAGTTTGTTTTTAATCGTGACAACCAAACAAACTTTTCAACCAGTTACCTGTAAACTAGTATGACTAAATTAAAGACTGAATATAAATCTCATATCCATGTGGGTTCAACATCTCTCTTTATAGCACTATTCTACACAGAATCATTCTATTGTGAGTAGTAAAATTAAATACGATCAATTTTTGGCGCCGTTGCAGGGGAGATTAGTTTTTAACTTAGTTTTTAATTAGTTTATTCTGGTTTATCAGTCTTCGGACTTTCTGATATCTCATCTTAATTTTTTTTTCTTTTCAAGTACAAGTTAGCAGTGAGGACAAAGACGTTTAAGGGATAAAAAGCTTCGGTTTGTTAAAACTTCTGTGAGTTTTTACTGTTTTTTCTTACTTAGAATATTTTATTTTCGTTACTTTAGGATTAGTGGAACCAGTGCATGTTAACTCGCCATAATCGAACAACACCTTTAGTGCATGATCCTGAAATAGAGAGAACTCTTAAACAATTAAGAAAACTTAAAAGACATTTGAATTCTATAAGAAGTTCCCTGATAATATAGCTGATCAACGTGATGCACCAGGTAATAATGGAAATGGTAATGGTAATGGAGAACGGGTTCCACCTGTTCCTCCACCACAACCACAATTGAGGGATCATTTTATTCCTACCACATATACTTCCCCTTTCATAGGTTTGCAATAGAGGATCCTTATAAGCACTTGGATGTATTCTTGGAATTGTATTCGACTACCAAGTTGAACACTATTACCAATGATTCATTCAGAATGCGTCTTTTCCAATTCTCGCTCAAGGATAAAGTAAGAACTTGGTTGCAGTCCCTTCCAACAAATTCCATATCTACATGGGACATGTTGCAACAGGAGTTATTGGAGAAATACTACACTATGGGTAAAACCACACAAATGAAAAGAAAAATTATGGCATTTTCCCAAATCCCGGGAGAATAGCTCCATGATGCATGGGAGAGATATAATGATTTTCTAAGAATGTGTCAACACCATGATATTGCTCAATGGCACTTAATACAGATTTTTTATGATAGTCTTACAAATTCTTATAGAAACATTATTGATGCTTCCAGTAATGGAGCTTTTCTACATAAGAGTCTGGCTGACGCTTGGGAACTGTTTGAGGCCCTAAATGAAAACTCAGTGCAACATGCTTCTTCCTCTAGGTCTAGGTTTTCACTTGGAATGCATAAGGTTGAAAAACTTTATGAGGTAGATAAATCTAGTAAGTTAGCCGCTCAAATAGAAGCCTTGAACCGTAAGTTCAATCAAATCTTATCATCTAGCTTTACTATTGTTGTTAATCCCCAAACTGCCTTACCAAAAGAAGTTTGTTCAATCTGTGTTAATCCTAATCATTTTGCTGACACTTACCCTATGCTGGGACAATCATCTGAGATCCCACAGGAGCAAGTGAATGCTGCATTCTCTAAACCAGCTTATAATACATATTCTTCTACATATAATCCTGGCTGGAGAGATCATCCTAATCTATCATGGCGTAATCAAAATCAAGGAACTGTTGTTCCTCAATCACAGGGGCAGTATCAAAATTCATCCAATCCTATGCCACAAAATAATTCTACTTTTGAGGATCAAGTACTCAATACTTTTGTTGATCTTAAAGCTAATACCCAACTTTTTAATTCTTATTGTCAAACTATGACAAAGCTAGAGGCACAAGTTGGGCAAATAGCGAGTACTCTATCTCGAAGGGAGGATAGAAAGTTACCTAGTTAGTCAATAGCTAACCCGAAAGGGCAAACTTACATGATTAATGAAACCAATTCCTCAGGTATTCATCATGAGCAAGTTCAGGCTATCACTACATTGAGGAGTGGTAAAGTGGTTGATAACCAAGTTGAAAAATGACAAAAGGAAAAAGAGAGGCTTAGGATTCCCATTGTTCCTATCGTTCATAATCCACATCCCAAGAATGTTTCCTCAAGTTCTATTCCATAATCCACCAGAGGAGTTGAAGGTGGAGTCACATGTTGAACCGGTTCAACATGTCCAGAACATAAAAATCTTGTCCAGAAAGTCTAAAAACTGTGCACCTATACATGGGAACCCCTTTGGTCCCTTGGTGATCTTATTCAAGTCCAAACATATCCCAAATCATGCAAAACCATTAAAATACAAATTTTGATCTCCATTTAAAAACGATAGCAACATAATCATACATAGTTCTCCATAGTCTTTTACAAAAGAGCAAAAATTCCATATAATTACAGTCAAAATTTACATTTGTCACTACAACATTACACCACAATACTTGATCTTTATAAAAGAGCCCAGATCATAATTCTATACAAAGGCAACAAAATGGTGGTTCCGATACAGTCTAGGGTTGTGGAGGATTGTCATCTGCTAATTTTTTTCCCGAACCTGAAAAATGTTAAATAAAGGGATAAGCTAAACGCTCAGTAGGAAGTGTCTAAGACACACTTCTTGTGACCCCGTGAACCCATACAAAGCATAGAAAAAAGAAAAAGGGGTCATGCTCATTCGGAAGGGAAAACATAACAACAAATCCAACAACACATCAATATCCTCTGCAAGCCATGCCATGCTATACAATGTAATGGTATGCAATGCCACTCCCCGTTTTGAAACCATTATTTCCAACCGTTAATATAACCCGACCCATAGCACCTCTATGGCGTCACGAGGGACGAGTTGGCCCGTAATCCCCAACCACATGGCACCTCCATAGCATCGTCTAGGCCTAGGTAGCTCAACCATACTAGGGTCTCTCCCTAGCTCCCTCTAGATCACATTAACACCCCAGACCACTAGGCGTCCGGGTTTTTCACAAAATTCTATCAAAACATTTTCCCAAAACGATTTCATTTGCTTTCAAAACACTTCTCCCATTTTTCTTTCCCAATGATAATGTATGAATTAGGAAACTCCTTCAATACGATGGCAATACAGAAATCCCATACAATTCAACCTCACAATATAGCATGCTTAACAAGAAAATTTCTAATAGAATAAAACATACTTACTAACATTCAAACTTTAACAACTAAGCAAATGAAATTGAAAACACAACTATTTAAGCATGATTTTCAATTAAATCCAACAACTATAACTCAAAAATCACTTCTATATGAAAGGTACACATGGATACACAAAGTTTATATAAAATATTATAGCAACTACTCAAGGAACTACCTAATTTAGCATGTTATACAACAAATTTAAGAAGCTAGGTCACAAAAATCAAAGATTGAATGGATTAGAACACCCCTACCTCAAGTGATTAGCCAAACAAGGCCTAAGGTTAAGCCAAATTTTAATCTCTCCCAAACCCTAGCAATATGGGTGCCAAATGGAAGCCCTCCTCAAGCTCCTTAATGATCTCCTCTCAATCTTCCTTAAAGCTCACTCCAAACACCTCAAATCAAAGCCTGAATTTGTATAGGCATAAATGTGATACATAGATGTGGAATATAGAGAGAGGAAAGTGAAAAGCAAAGAGGAGGAAGGGGATACCCAAAAATGGAAGAGGAGGGGAAAAAAAAATTGGTCTTGCACTTGGTCAAATGGTCCTCATGGTGCCATTTGTCAAACAAGAAATGGTCTCTAATTTTGGTAAAATTCCAATCTTACCCTTGCTCATTCCATTTAATGCCTCCTCTATCCTCCAAAATATCTTCCCAATTATGTAAATATATAAATATAAATATATGAGTGAAATGTCCATAATGCCCCTCACTTAAAATGAGAAAACCAAAAAAAGTTCTCGAAAAATTGTTCCGACCTCGAAAAAAATTTTAGAATGACGCCACCACTCTTAAATGACGTAAAATGATTTTAAAAAAATCACTAGAACCCTCAGCTCAAGAAAATGACTAAAACGCCCTTCGGTGCCAACGTGACACACAAAACGAGAAAAGACGAAAATGCCTTTTCAAAAACAGAAAAACCTAAAAATGGAAAATGACGAAATTCAGAAACATTAAATTCTGATACCCCCGAATGAGGCTATTGTTACTGTCTTCACCCAGTACCATTTCATGTAGTGAAACAAAGTCTTCGGGCATATGCCCAAGACGAGGAAGCTGGAATGGGGTGTTGACGATAAGTTCCGAGAGGATCGACAGCGCATGGATGCCGAGGCGAGGGGTGTGCCATATATACTGTATTTTCCACCTTATCCACCCTCGCCTACTATTCTGTCTACCGACCATGCTGATGCAATACTGACAGAGGAGGACAATGCTGAGGAGTTTGATGATAAGGCTACGGACGAGGAGATAGATCTCTCCGATAGCCAGCCCTCACTTAAGAGGAGGCCCATTCCTATAGCCCAGCCTGAGAGTTCTTCTTAGGCTGATATTAAAGTTTTACAGCCAGGGTGGCCGAGCTACAGGATGGTCAGACGGTGCTGCGACAGATGTTGACTGCGTAGCAGAGCATATTGGAGGAGTTACTGTACCGCACTCTGTCCACTCCATCCACTTCTACAGATACTCCTCCACCTTCTATGGATTAGCTTTCTAGGGCTTTTCTGTATTTTTATTGACTAGGGCAGTATTTTTGATGTATTTATTTTTATATGATGTATATCTGCCTAAGTTTTTCTTTTAAAAAGCATTGTACTGATTTCTGATATATATACATGCTTTTTGTTTTTATTATCCTTGTGTTGATATTTTAGTTCATTGTGATATTTCTCTATGATTACTCTATATACTTGATACTCTAATGTGTGTTGGAGTTTATTGATTTTACCAGATACTACAGATTAAGTTTGGGGGTGATTTGACTAAAAGCACCATTGGGTGGTTTTTAGAGGAACCACTATGTTGAAGGAGACGATGCTAGAAATTCATTTTTACCCATCTATGCATTATTTTGACATATTTTTGTTGGTCTGCTTGTCTGGTAATATCTTTCTAGCTCTCTTTTGTTCTCACACATTGAGGACAATGTGCACACTAAGTTTGGGGGTAAGGTTGTGTTGGGAAATTTTAAATTTTTGCTTATACAAGGATATGATTAATGGTTGATGTTACAAGCATGAATTTGAGTCTGTTGATGGTCATGTAATCTATTTGCAGTCTGATGTTGGTTAAAAATGGTTTGAATGCTAAAATACTATGAAAGGGATTTCTTGAAAAAAATTTAAATCAGTTAGTGGTCTGTGGTCCACTTTGTTAATTTGGTTATTGTTTAATAATATTGATCTCTGAGATGCTGCACTTTGCACATATTCACACTTGCATAAATTCTATGGGGTAAAAACTAGAAGTCATGTTTTATTTTGAGTTAAACTGAGATGAGCAGGTCGATTCGATAATTTTGATGACCAAGGCATAAGAAAAAAATAACTAAATAAAAATTAAAAATTAAAAATAAAAATTAAAAAAAAAATTTTAAAAAAAATTGGTATGTATGCAATACAATAAAAAGAAAAAATTCTTCACCAATGTGAATGAAAAAAAAAATAAAAAAGAAGTAGAAAATGATCAAGTTCAAGTTTGTACTTAGATTGCATGAGTGATTAAGTCCTTAGGGGTGCGTTCTGACACCTAATGCCCTAAGATCATCTGGTCTGGGAGTCATTGGCTGAAAGTTTGTTACATAAGGGGTTTAGGTTGCCTAGATTACTTGAACAATTAAGTCCTTAGGGGTGTTTCAACATTTAATTTCGTAAAACCATCTGGTCTGGGAATCATTGACTGAAAGTTTGTTACATGGGTGATTTAGAAAACTTAATAGACCTGAACATTACACAGTATCCTTTTTGAAAAAATGCATACCCGTAGAAAAAATAATAAAGCCTTGGGAATTGGAATTTGAAAAGTTTACATGTGAATTGAGGAATAGCAAGGAATAAATGCAAGTATGGACAGTAAGTCACACGTTGAATTGTAAGATCACTTTAAAAAAGTGTTTTAGAGATTAAGATTGTTGAATGAATGATTAAACTGATATGTAGACCATGGTTGCTTAATTGAAATTAAAAATTGAAAGTTTTTCTAATTACATGATTGGTATACTTGTTGTATTTGACTGATTAATGAACTGTAGGGACAATATGATTTAAAAGTAGGCTTGAATAAGCTTACTGTGCAGTTAAGGCACTGATTTGAGAAGTTTGTGGGTATCTTCACTGGAAACCCTCACGAGACTATAACTCGTCCACTAGGGGTAACTTAGGGGTTTAAAGGTTTGTTGCATAGGCTAAATGCAACCGTGATTCCTACAAAAGCGGCTTTTTAGTTCTGTATTGCTAAGGGACTAGCAATATGTAAGTTTTGGGGTGTGATGAGCGTTGAATATATGCATATTCGAGCCCTTAAATATACGTATGTTAAGGCCTAAAGTGATACTTCTATCCATAGTTAGACTAATTTATGTTTAGTGTGTGTTTACAGGTACTTTTCCAGAGAAATGGTTAAAACTGGGACTTTATGATGATATCGAAGCTTACAGAGTCGTTGTCGGTCATCCAGAGCAAGCCGAGAGCTTAAATTGTGAAGTTTGAAGAAATCCAAGCCCCAGAGCTCGAGCCCAAGTGTTGAGGCTCGAGCATAGAAACAAAGAAAAGAAGAAAAGTCAATAAGGCATTGAAGCTCGAGCCTTGTACCTTTAGGCTCGAGCCTGAACCAAGGGTGCTCAAGATTGACCATAGGGTGCTCGAGCCTTGACCTTTAAGCTCGAGCACAAGGCGTCAGAATTTAAAGAGTTGATTTCCAAGCTCCCAGACCTCGTGCCTAACTCCAAGGATCGAGCACCATCAATTGAAGCTCGAGCCTTGAGTCCCAAATGCTCGAGCCTGGTACCTAGTGCTTGAGCCCATGAAGCTTAGATCGAGCAATGTTAAAAGATTTCAATCTCAAAAATATTCTAAGTATTGAAGAAAAAAGACGCTTCGGAAAATAGTTGAAGAAAATTGGCTAAGTGTCAAAGTGAAGATCGAGCACCAATTCTTGGAGCTCGAGCATCAATCCAGAGAAGCTCGAGCCTTGTTCCTTAAGCTCAAGCCTGAACCTTAAAGCTCGAGCCTTTATTCCTAAAGCTCGAGCCTTCCATGACCTGTCAGAATTAAAGTACGGGATTGCTCTCTTTATCAGCCGTATCGCATCCCAGATGGGCCATAAGACCTAAAAGCCCACAAAATGCTTATTTTCTTCTATAAAAGAAGGCGTAAACCTTGATAGAAGAGGTCCAAAATTTTAAGTCCTTTTTACGGTGTTATTTAGAAGGCTGGTAGTGTGATGGCTTTTAAGGTTCCTACAACCTTAGAAGGTGAAGATCCTGAGAAGAGAAATGTCGTCCGTGATGATAGAGACAACTCCAACACAGATGATACCCAACATAGTCATGAGTAGCTAATTCCTCTCTTAGGGCACTGATGTAACCCAATCTAGTATGATGGTTTGATTGTTCTTAACTCTGGGATTATTTTAATATATTATGTTTTCTTAATTATATGACTATGAGCAATTAAGACAACTCAATTAGTTTTCATGCTTTAATAGATTACAAACTGTTATTACCTTGTCTTAAATGTAATTGCTTGTTTACTATTCTCAACCTATCTTATTGGACGATATCTGGCGGAGACCTGCTGGCCATAAGAATAGAGGTCATATAATGGTGTTCCAATGTTATTTATAAAAGAATGTTTTCATAGTCTATGCTTAGGAAAGATAGATTATTTGCAAAGTAGTTAAAGTAGTTAGAGTAAGTAGGTGGATAGTTCGTGTTAATCGCAGATAGGTTATAGTTAACTGGATTTTGTAAAATATCTTTCTTTAAAACCTGAATTGAATGAATGTTATTGAGTTCAATTCATTTAAAAACATAATTGGTTAAATTCCCAGAGTTGATACAATTACCCATAGTATAATGATTGTGGTAAAGTCAAAGCCATGAGATTTCTCCCTCTGATTACTTAGTTTAATATTTCAGTTTAATTTTAGTTTATTTTTAATCGTGACAACTAAGCAAAATTTTCAACCAGTTACCTGTAAACCAATAAAACTGAATATAAATCTCATCTCCCTGTGGGTTCGATATCTCTCTTTATAGCACTATTCTACACGGAATCGTTCTATTGCGAGTGGTAAAATTAAACACGATCAACCACCTACTAAGCAATTTCGCTCACCCTTTATTATTAACATTTTTCAATATACAGAAAGGAAGTGGCGAACGACGCTCCTCTATAGGTTTTGCTGGGTTAGTAGACTGTTTTGACATACTTTGTAACTATGATCTCATTTTATTATTATTATTATTATTATTATTATTATTATTATTATTATTATTATTTTATAAACCCTAGGATGACATTATGTATTGACATAGAAATGGACAATAGTACCCTTAGTTAACCTCGAGTTCAGGTAAAGACCCGATTAGCGATTCGGACCCTCGGGTTCGGGTCGTTACAAATTTGGTATCAGAGTAATGGTTCGAAAAATATTAGGACGACGGGTAGAGGCCTACCTACTGTTGTGTGGGAAGTTATTTCCATTTTTTATGTGACTATTAGCTAAAGTGTTTTGTTATTTGAAAAGCATGCTTAACTGTCTACTTGTTTACATGTTTATATGCTAACGGTTTTGAAAAACATGCTTCTTTGCTATGTGTTTGCACGTTTATATGTTTATATGCTAAAGTTTATGTTATATGGTCATATACGAGGAATAGTTAGATGATCTAACCGTGTAAATGAAATGTGAAAGAAAAAAAAAGAGTATGTTGATTGTGTATGAAGAGTATGGTGACGAGAAGTGGTAGGTACGGTGTGTGCAGTTCTAATTTAAATGCTAATGTGACAAGTAGTGAGCATGGTATATGCAAATATGTTTCGTGTAGTATTGTGGGTTTCATTCATTTTGTATACGTATATGTTTATATTCTTATGTGGTTATACGGTTAAGCATTGGGACGGTTGCTAGTACGGTGGAATACTTGTCACGGCATAGATGGTTGTGTAAGTCTTGACCTGAGTAGGCGAGGAGCTCGGTTGTTCCAAGGTTGTTTGGGTGCCAGTTCTTATTGAACTAATGGCATGGGCTTCTAGCTCGTGGATTGAGCTATTTGGCGTGTAGTCATCCTGATCTTCTTAGTTATATTTTGTGCGGTGACTTTAGAACGGGTTCATATTTCATAATAAGGTGCCCTCGTTTTGTGTGAGTTTCATGTATTGGTGTATGGGTTCTGGTGACCATGGAGGTCAAGTGTATGAGTGAGGGTTTCGATATGACCTTAGGAGGTTAGTGTTTGCGACTTAGGTCACAGTTTGGTGTGGAGGTTCTTTTTGAACCAGTTGTGGTAGGTGTGACGGGGGTTGTTTGAGTCACGAATGTAGTTTATGGATTGTAAATGTGTATTTCGAGCATTTTGGAACAGCTTAGAGAAGTGTGTTGGTTTTTACTGTTATGGGAACTTGTTGGATTCTATAGGTCTATGGTGATTTAGGGCCGGTTGCCGAATGTAAAACATTTCATGGTCTTGAAGGAATCTGTTTAGAGACTGGTTTGTAGAGAAATGATTCTCATTTCAGAGAGTTACAGGAGCGTGTTATGGGTAATCGACTCTTGGTGAGTCGGTTGCATGGCTCAGTCGATGAGCGAGGTTCTGGGTTGGCGCGGCTGTCTAGAGAGTCTTGCGATGGTGTATAGTGGTTAGTTTTAGTTGTGTAGTACAGGATTACACAATAAGACAGGTAGTATGGGGTCATTAGAGTGTTTAGTTGTTTGCGAATGAAATAATAGCTGGTGAGTATTGTGTTATCAAATGAATTGTGTTTTAAAATTTGAAAGCTGTGGATTAGGGTTGTATTTCAGATTGCGTTTAGAGTATCAGGAGATAGTGCTTGTTGTTTGAAGATTCGAAGAAATAGACTAATGATTGGAGTGATTGGGACAAGGTTGATCTTGTAGGTTAGTTGGTAGCCCATTTGATTTTTGTTGGGGCCAAGGATGTTTTAAGGAACAGGAATGAGGAAAAGTAACGATGTTAAACTTAAGGTACAAAGTTTTCCTGTTTAGATGTGTAGATTGCTTAGAAAGAGTAGTTTGATGTTATCAATTAAACGTTAATGATTGATGCCATCGTTGATGGTATTGAGGTGACAATTGGGTGTTGAGTATTTTGATATTTGTGCTCATTTTGTTTTAAAGGTTTGTTGGCATGGCATTGCCGTATAGAGGTTCTTTTCTAGTAGAAAATAGTGGTCGTTGTGGAAAGTATCGACAGTAATGCTTATTTTTCTTGTTATGATGGTGTTATCTTGAGGATGTTTGAGGAAGAATCGCTTGGTGGTAACTTGATGGTCCGGAGGGATGATAGGTTTGAACTGTTGTTGGAATAAGTGGCAGTAGAGGTGTTATGGTGTAGTGTTTTGTACTGATGAACAGAACGGTTTTAAGATATGATCCAAGGGTGGATTAGAGATTTCAAGTTACTTATTGTGTGTTGTCAGGTAAGTGATTGGATTATGCGTCGATCGAGGCGATTGTGGATGGTTTAGCCTTTAGAGCCAGTGAGAGCGGTGTTGCCCTATAGTTATCTTTTTCTTTTGACGAGTCAGTGGGTTATTATGACTGAGGTCACGGGTCTTGTGTGCACGGTGTTCGAGAGAGTGTCACCATGAAGTGTAGAAGTGGAATGGGTGATCTCGTTTAGCATTGAGGTTGTCATTTGGGACTGATGGGTTCCAGATAGAATAGGACGTAGTGTTCGGTAGGCAGTAATGGTTCTTAGTGTTAGTATGTTGAGGGCATTGGTACATTTATCTGATTAGTTTGGTTAGCTTGGGTACCGCAGTGTAGTGTATGCGAGGTTCGGTGTTGATAGTGTATGGCGGTCCGTTAGTGGCGAGGTCGCCTAGAGTTAAGTTCGTAGTCTCGTATGTGTTTCCAATTAGTTCTTTTCCTTGTGTGTAAGGAGTTCATTTCATCTCAGGTGAGATTGGGTATCCATGGTTCGACGATTGGTGTGTAGCGTGTGACAAGGTGTCGGGTTCATTTAGGTGCGAGTTGTCAGTCTCCTGTGAGAGCGGGGTTCGTTACCTTTCCGTTTGTTCTAGTCCTGGTAAGGACGTCGTTTGTCATGAGTCTTGTTCTCTATTTAGGAGTTGTGTGTGTCCACAGATGGACGGACCTGTACGTGGGTTGTTATGCTGTTAAAGTTTACCGGTAAAGGTTTGGTTGAATGGGTCGACTTACTCCCACAGAGGGAGATAAAGTCATTGGTTTTAGGTGGTGCTTGTTTTGAGAGTGATTTTAACGGCATGAGTTGCCGAATAGGGATTACATTTCCGGTGTCTAGTACTATTGGTGATGGCTAGGGGTGTGTCGTGAATTATAAGTTTGAGGATGGTTAGGTGATATAATGTGAGTCATGTACTCTGATGTTTTTATTAATGTCTGATTTGAGCAGTATCTTGAGGACAAGTGTTGGTATTGTTGAGTATTAAACAACTAGAGAGTGACTATGGGACTCCGTTGAAGAATAATGAGGATGATTGACTTTGGGTTTGAGGTTTTAGGTATGAAATGGTCGTATTGTGTGTTTTGAAGAGGTGAGAATTGAACCGAATGATGTTATAGAGTTATCTACCTGGGATGGGTGTTTAGAGAAAATTAGAGATCTTATATACTGGTTGATGATTGATGTTTGGTGTCGTGTTGTTTTTAGCTTGTTACGGGTTATATGATTGAGGCATGATTGGGACTTTTAGAGTAGGTATGTGATAGTAAAGCTATTAAGGATTACGTAGCATGATGGATTGATAGTGAATGGACCTTATGGTTGTTTTGTGGACTGTGCAGGGTTGTGTTTGAGGTTTAAACCTTAGGACAGGAACGATATCTGTGTTGAGACTGGATCAATGATGAAAATGGCCTGGCTAACCATTTCTCCTGAGTCAGTCCATCTTCAGCATAATGTCGGGTCAAAGGTCTATGCTTGTTTTAGTTTATCAGAAATAGTGAGAGCACACAATTACGGGTTATGTCGGCGTGACAGTGTGGATTTAGGTGGTTGTCTCGGGTGACGAGGTGTGTTAGGTAAGACCAAGTATCCAATAAAGGGTTTGTGGTATAATCATTGATTATTGAGGATTTCGTTTTGAGGATGTGTGTCCAGGATACAGGATAATACGTTTTATTCTTCTGGTGACTTATGATTATGTAGTCGTTGGGAAATCTGTTGTTTTATCTTCTTGAAGTTGTCTAGTATGATGATTGTCGTATAGGGCGGTGATGTAGCTATGCGGTGGATAGCGAGTGCTTGGTCTGACAAAGACATGTAAAGTTGAGTTTGAGCTTGATTGTGAGATGGATAGGGTTCCTCGTTTGGGTTCTTGTGTGTCCTTTGAAGGATGAGTTGAGGGGACCAATGTTGGTTTTAAATCGAGTATAGAATCCAGCGGGTTTTGTGTATGATGTTGTGAGTGATGAGTACCCTCATAGGA